AACAACATTAACAACAACAACAACAATAATAATGACAACAATAACAGCAACAGCAACAACAACAACAATAACAGCAACAGCAACAACAACAATAACAACAGCAACAACAACAACAACAACAACAGCAACAGCAACAACAGCAACAACAACAACAACTACAACGACAACAACAACCACCACAATAGACTCACCGATCGCCCTATTCTCGATGTCCCTACAGCAATGGGGGTCTGCCTCTCTCTCTCAAGCTCAACTTGAAGTTGTTCCCTCTGTCTCTTCCTCTTCTCCTCTAACTCCTCCTTCTTTCTCCTCTTCTCTTCCTCTTCTCTCTTCAACCTTTCCTCTTCTTCCTTCTTTCTCTTTTCTTCTTTCACCTTTTCAAGCCGAGTTCGTAGATCATAGTACACTGGTTCTTTCAAAAACACCTGCAAATAACGAATCATCATCATCATCATCATCATCATCATCATCATCATCATCATCATCATCATCATCATCATCATCATCATCATCCTCCAAAAAAAAAATTGACTGTGAAAACTCTTGACTGTTAAACATCTTGAATATGAAAGCACCTTGAATGTGTAAAATATTTGACTGTGAAAGTATTTTGACTTTAACCTCCCACCTCCATGACTGTGAAAGTATCTTTAAAGAGAAACTATCTTGACTGTGAGGTATCTTGACTGTGAAAGAATCTTGACTGTGAAGTATGTTGACTATGAAGTATGCGGACTGTGAAGTATGCGGACTGTGAAGTACACGGACTATGAAGTATGCGGACTGTGAAATATGTGGACTGTGAAGTATGCGGACTGTGAAATATGTGGACTGTTAAGTATGCGGACTGTGAAGTATGCGGACTGTGAAGTATGCAGACTTTGAAATATGCGGACTGCGAAGTGTGCGGACTGTGAGGTATGCTGACTGTGAAGTAAGTTGAGTGTGAAGTATGCTGACTGTGAAGTAAGTTGATTCTGCGGACTGACCTTGGTGATTCCCACTTTGTACATGTTGGGGTCGGGGCAAACCGAGTTGAGGATGGCGTCACAGATCTGACCTTCGCCCTCCAGCCCGTAACTGTCCACCAGGTCCTGGTAGCTGAGGTCAAGAGGTCAAACGAGGTCAAATGAGGTCAAAGGAGGTCAAAGGAGGTCAAAGGAGGTCAATTGAGTCAAACGAGGTCAAAGGAGGTCAATTGAGGTCAAACGAGGTCAGAGGAGGTCACAGAGTTTCCGAGAATGTGTTATAATAAGCATATATTTTTATATAAACTTGCCTTATTGGAAGAAGAAGGAGAAGAAGAAGAAGAAGGAGAAGAAGGAGAAGGAGAAGGAGAAGGAGAAGAAGAAGAAGAAGAAGGAGAAGAAGAAGGAGAAGGAGAAGGAGAAGGAGAAAAGAAGGAGAAGGAGAAGGAGAAGGAGAAAAGAAGGAGAAGGAGAAGGAGACGGAGAAGGAGAAGGAGAAGGAGAAGGAGAAGGAGAAGGAGAAGAGAAGGAGAAGAAGAAGAAGAA